CTTAATACTTTAACTTTAGTCGTCGTCGACGTTTTACATAGTTGTAAAATCATGATTACTGGTCGATAAAACTAGAACAATAGCGCCTAAAAAAAAAAAGGTGTCAATTTAATATTCTCATACACTCTCTTTTTCTCTTTTGTGAGGAAAGTGTAGAATGTATATTTAAAATTAGACTGGGCAGCTTCCGAGTCTACTTGAGACTCTTGTCGCCACAAGTCAGGAAGCGTGTAGATGTTCTAAGAGATCATCGATCAGGTTTGTTATTGGTTAAATTTATGAACTTTTTCTGAGCTCTTCGTTGCTTTAATGACCAATTCACTAGCGGTATTATGTCGATAATACGGTGCTGTTGATTTGGATTCTTTACCGAGTTCAAAATTTAGTACGCTTTTGTTGTTGTGTTTAATTTGTGAAGGTTAATATTTGTCGTTGTATTAGATTTGTTTGAAGGGTGGTTGTTATTTCTTTGTACTGAACTTTTGGAAGATTGGTTAGTCTCACTTTCATAGAAGTCATCTACGATTGCACACCGAATGTTCGACTAGTTGGCTGTTTGAATTTTACAGCCTTAGAACTGACCATCTTTTTGTCCCAACCGCTTGTTGTGTGAATGTGAGTAACCATGGGATCAATTTTATAATGTTTTACGCACACTGGTTTTATGAAAGATCATGTTAGATGTGGAATAAGTCTACGTTGAGTCGAGTTCTGTTAGTGCATGTTGTGTATCTTGAACTTCTCGTGTTAATGGATGTCGCATGATACCTCAAGCTTGATGCACATTCCTTAAAACCATAACATGATTCTTGCAGTACACTTTTTATGAAAGAGTGCTGTTGTTGGGAGAGACAATGAGTGGGGCATTCATGATAGTTTCTAATCCACCCTTCTGGTTATTGTCGACGAGTCTCTGTTTCCAGATTATAGGTTCTAACTGGTATACAACTATACTAAGTGAAAATAAGGGCTCTGATTGTTAGTACAATTCCTATTTATTGCTTGAAAGTATATACGCTAATTAGTAGTACTGTTTTCTTGTTCAACGAGAAGATAAAGGATCCCCAATCACACCTCCCCCAACTTGAACATAGAAGAAGTAAGGCAGTGAAGTAGCTTACCCTCCACCCATTGGGAAAGTTGATCAACACCGCCTACTTGACAGGAGTATCATCATTCTTCTTCACAGGAAAAGTATTCCCTTCAATGAGATCATCCTCGGTCAGATTATCTAAGGAAAAGTTACCTTTTATTGAAATATTCACGATTACATGATCAAATATATACTACATAAGCCTCAAAATGGAACAACAAAAGGCACAGAATTGCTTATATTGAAAAAGTATGCACTCAACACCACATCAACGAACTACTGGCGATTTTTTGAATGACACCACCAAGGAGACAACCGGGTCATGTTCATGCTGTTTTAAGGAATGTTCTTTTCCTCCTCCGTGCATATGGACCCTGCTCCTCTTCCTCGGTTTCTTCTTCTTCTTGATGCCTTCTTTCCATTTCTTCTTCCTGTCTCCTAGCTGCTTCTTCCTGTCTCTCAGCTTCCTCTTGCCTTCTTCTCTCAGCCTCTCTTGCCTCCTCCTCCTCTCTTCTTCCTCCTTCCTCCTCCTCCTCCTCCTCTCCCCTCTCTCCTCTCCTCGCTTCCTCCTCCTCCTCTTCTTCTTCATGTCTCCTTGTTTCCTTTTCCTCCCTCCTGGCTTCCTCTGCTTGTCTTTCCCTTTCTGCTTCCTCTTGTTCCTGTCTCCTCCTAGCTGCTGCTTCCTCTTCTCTTCTCCTTGCTTCCTCCGCCTCTCTCTGCGCTTGCTCCTCCCTCCTCCTCTCTGCTTCTTCCTCTCTCCTTCTTGCTTCCTCTGCCTCCCTTTGTGCTTCTTCCTCCTGCTGCCTTCTAGCTGCCTCTTCCTCTTCTCTTCTCCTTGCTTCTTCTGCCTCTCTCTCAGCTGCTTCCTCCTGTTGCCTTTTAGCTGCTTCTTCCTCCTCTCTCTTCCTAGCTTCCTCCTCTTCTTGTCTCCTCCTGATTTCTTCTTCTTGCCTCCTGGCTTCCTCCTCTTCCTTTCTCCTGGCTTCTTCCTCTTGTCTCCTCCTTTGTTCCTCTTTCTCCTTTGCTGCCTCCTCTTCTCGTCTTCTTGCTTCTTCTGCCTCTCTCTCTCTTCTTTCTTCTTCAGCCTTCCTTGCTTCTTCCTCTTCCTTCCTTCTAGCTTCCTCTTCTTCCCTCCTCCTTTCTTCCTCCCTCTGCCTCGCCTCCTCTTCTTCCCTTCTTCTAGCTTCCTCCTCTGCCCTCCTCCTTTCTTCCTCCATTAATCTCACTTCTTCTTCAGCACAAGATGTACACTCTAGTATGACTGACTCACCCTGTGCCTCCAGAATCCGATCCATTGTTGTGTTAGTCACATTAAAGGAAGCTACCAAGATTTGCCTATCCAGTGTTCGGAGGACTGAAGCCTTCCCTGTTAGGTACTGAGGATGATGTCTCTTTGTAGTTGTACTAAACCCAAGAAAGACAAATGAGTTGTTGTTGAAAGCCATTTGAGCCATAGGATGAAACCTTGGTACTGCAAATACATCTCCTTCTTCCACCTTAAACCTCATGTTTTTGCACCCCTGCTCTGTTCCAGTGCTTGAGCAAACTACCCTTACCATTCCTTCTCCTTGCAATGCTATTCCTATTTCAGTTGCCGTTGGATTCCAGTGTGGCCCCATCATTGATCCCTTGGTCAAGTTCACTACATAAATACCAATGTGGGAACCCTTTAATGCGGGTAATTTTTTCCGTGTTATTACAGTGCTCCAGCCATTGCAATTCTCAAAATCTGGTTTCTCTTTGAAAATGTTGAACAATTCAGTCTTCTTTTTATTGCTTTGGGAGTCAAAGAAATTGTGACCGCCCCTTCCTAGTAGGCTTTTCATGAATTGAGCCTCCATTTCCCACAGGGTCTTTTTTGTTGTCTTGGGCACACCATGTATGATGGCTGGTACTTCTGTCCCATTCAACACTTCATCTATCACATCCTCCGGTACCTTCACAAAGAAATTTTTGCATACATAGTCAAAATTTACCCCTTAACATGACTCTTTTTAGTACATTAGCAGAAAAACGGAAAACCAGAAAGAACACAAAATGAATTTAAGTTATACTCTATATACTAACAGTATAACAACTTTTTATACTAACAATGCAATTTAACCTGCTACAATGGGTAATTACTCTTCTTTCCAAATATATTAGACATTTTACAAAGAGTTAAATCTATATATTGATAGTGCACAAAATCTGAACTCATACTATACAATTATATGTTTAAATAAAATAGAGGAGAGTTACATGAAATGCCGCCTGGAGAACTTTCCTATCGAAGCCAAGAACCATATCACGGATGCTGGAGTATGGTCCGGACGATGGCTCCTGCATATATACGAGGAAATTCATCTTTGATCAAGAAAAATGCAAAATTAAGTATTAACATAGTGGACGAGAACAAAGAATATTACGCGCAAATCATCCCCTGAATTGGCAAAGATGGAATAAACTCTAAGTTTCTGTCGCGCAGGCTCTAAGTTGCTCTCTATGAAGAAAATAGTTCCAAAAGGTAGCCTGAAAACATCTCCAATTCTTAAATCCACTGACTTCTCTTCAGTTTCATCCATCCAAGTCAGCCTTCCCGACCCTTCAATCAGCATTCCACCGAAATCAAAAATAAATACATAGTTGAATTTACCAATGAAACAAATAAAATAATGCCAAGAAAGGGATTCCTTGGATAAAGTGGAAAAATGCTAAAAAAATCCTTTCATTTCTCTTTGAAGGCCTTTGTTGAGACAGATCAAGTAAAAAAAAAAGAGAGTCAAAAATGTAAAATCAATACCAGTGTGGACATAGAAGACCATATCTGCATGTAGAACAACAGGAAGGAAGAGAGAATTGGGCTCCAATGTGATGAACTGAAGATGATAGGAGCCGGCGATTCCATCAGCCACTCTGACTGAAGAGACCTCCCCATTTTCAGTTGAAACTACTGATTTTCTTTCTCCTCTCTTCACCAGAGGCCCCAAACCCCATTCCCTACCTGGGGTTCCTTCTTGCTCTGTCAAAGCTGTTACAGTTATCGCCACATTACTGATAATAACCATAACCAGCAGAAACTTAAACAAGATTCTGCAACATTGAAATGGCGTCGAGACAGATTTTTTATCCGACATTGCCTTTAATTTTTAAACAAACATGCACAGTCCTGACGAGGGGGAGTAAAACACGAGGTTTTGAAGAAGGAAGATGTGAGAGAGGGGAGTTACGTGGCTTTTGCATGGACACGTGCTTGTTTCTACGTGACACGTGGCTTCCTTCTCTGATGATTATCATCTTCTTCATTTCCATCAGTTTTTGGGTCTAAGATCCTTATCTTCTAGCTATGTCTTAGAGACGAAATTTTTTATCTCAATAATTGCATAGCGAAGAGAGAAGGTAAAATGAGTATATAGGCGCAATTTGGTGTAATGAAGTCATAATTTTGACGGAAGGGATATATTTTACTTCAAAAGAGTGAATGTTAAAATATAAGTCATAGTCTATTTTTATTACTTTCTGCATATATGTAAAATTTCTATGAGAGCATTAGATTTTATGGAACCCAGAGACTCATTATTAACCAATGATTTCAAACAAACTCATTGTGAGCCAATCGCTTATTATTCGGTACCTTGGATACCACAGTTTGTTTCGCGAAAGATAAATTAATAAAGGGTTTTCAAATCTATATTATATCACATTTTATTATGAGGAAATTGCAAATTCTAACGATTCTGAGTCAGCTATATATAGTAGAGAGTAAAGAAAGACATTTCGTTCATGACTTGGTTAGCTTAATCTCCATAGAAACTAGAAGCGGGCCTCGAATTTCTTGTCTTTCCTCAAGGCCCGGCCCAAATCTGGAGAAGCCCAATTTTCTGCTTTTACCATAAACGGTTGTAAAAATAGCACGGGCTAGCCAGTTTTTGGACTAGTCATTCAAAAATAGTCATCGTTTGTAAAGTCATTGAAAAATAGCAATTATTTTGCTGCAACACGGAAAGTTCCAACATAATATACTGAAGATCGGTGCGTCTGTTTATGAATTTCAAGCATATTATNTAAACGTGGGACTTCGTGCTTTAAAAGGGGTTTCAATCTACAAAAAGTTCCAGCATAATATACTGGAGATTGGAGCACCTGTGTATAAACTTCCAGCATATTATGCTGGACTGGTATATTATACTGGAATTCCATTATGCTGGAAGTCCAATATAATATATTGGAGTATTTTTCGGATTTTGAACAGTTGTTTCGTTCAGATTTATCTTTACATGAAAAGTGGCTAAAGTTTGATTACTTTTAAAACTGTGGCTATTTTTGAATGACCACTTGTAAATCTGACTATTTTTGAATTTTTCCCTAAACAGTTAGTTGTGGCCTAAAGTTGAATCCCATTATTGCCCTCAAAAGTCAAAGTGGAGGAAAAAAACGAGAAATAGTTTGATTTACAACTAATTGAAAATTAGCCTTAATATCAGATATCAAGCTACTTTTTCATGTTAAAATAAAATTCGATAAAAAATACCCATAAAAATCCGGAAAAAAATCCAGCATAATATGTTGGAATTCGAATTTTTTATATATGAGATTTCAGCATAATGTCCTGGAATTCATCACGTGTTGGAGTTCCAACATAATATGTTGGAAGTTTCTATGCAGGAGTTCCATGATCCAACATATTATGTTGGAACTTTCTGTGTTTTAGATAGGGTACATCTGTTCAGATTTTATCTCCACCTTATATAGTGGCTAC